GACAATATTTGTTCGATAATCCCAGTGGCTTCTGCAGTTAGTTGGGCTTGAAAACCAAGAGCACAATTTTAAATAAAGTTGGAGTAATACTATGGATATTTTCAATATAATTCTGAACTTCTTTTTAAACAGTAATCTGGTTCACATGTAACAACAAACTATGAGTTGTTTAACCAATAACTAGAATATTGTTAACTCTGGATTGTTTAACTCCTAGAGTTCTATGTTTCTGGTTTGTTAATTCCAAGCAGAAGTGACGCTGGATAGGAGGAGAGGAGAATATGCACATATTCTGGTCACAGGGTTAAAAATCCCTATTGTATCTGGAATTGGGCAAGTGGAAATTTGTGGGAGTATGACACAGACTGGGCTCTTCCTGCTTCCCACTGTAATGGACCCACTCTGCCTGGAGGTGGAAAAGCTAACATGAACTGAGGCTCTACTGAGGAAAAACCCTTTAAGACATTAGTTTAGGAGAGGGATTTCCTGAAAAGGGTTGATGGTAGGCCCAGTGGGATTTGTTGTCAATGTTTTCAGAGTTTCCTCACATGTTATCCCCTATTTAAGACCCTAGAATGAGTTGATGGGCTAAGCACTGGGCAGGAGGAAGGTCCCATGTCCACTGAATTTGAATATGACCCTCTGTGTTGTGGACACCAAAAGGAATCAGCCTATGTCCATCTGATGTATTAACTTGAATACTGAAGCTTTTATTTGATGTCAGTGATATGTTCCAGTACTTGTTTTTCCACAGAAAAAAATCAATTTTGTAAGTTCATTACTGATTGGTAACTACTAAAATGTTCCATTATATAAGTTCAGAAGTAATGGATGCCAGTTGCAAATCCATTTTTAATTAAGTTTTTTATTATTTTATTTTAAACTTTTATATACTGTCTCATCACCGGCACCTCGGGACAGTTCACAATAACAACAATAAAATAAGATAAAAAATAAAAGTAAAAGTAGCCCAGCATCCAATATTAAATGTAAAACCACAGATTAACATAAATTAACAATTAGAATAGTGGGAAAATAAAAAGGTTCTCACCTGGCGCCAAAAGGAAAGAAGTTATATCATTGGTATAACTTCATTGTCAGTTATATCATTGATTTTGGCTCAAGTGAGATAGTACACCTGGTGTTTCTCCCGGTCAGCTTGACATACATATTTTTCCATCCCTCACAGTAGGGAGTCTCCCAAAACTAGCACTTTTCTCTTACTGTTGCAAGCTTGGATAACATGTCTTATGTTTGGTTCATTATTGATGCAAACTTGTGTTGTGTCTCTCCTGTTTTGTTGTCCTTTGGTTTGGATTTTGTTGTCCTTTGGTCTCCTGTTCGGTTGTTCTTCAGTGTTTCTCAGTATATTTAGCAGTTCTGTAGACAGTCGTTCTTGCATCTCTTTCTTGAGTATCTGGAACCTGTTCAAGATTTTCATCATTTCCTCATTTATAGTGTGTCTTCTAGTCCTTCTGCTGGTGACGGCCATTCTTTTCCCATGGTGTTTTCATGCCTTTAAGTTTTCCCATCGAGTTCTCAGCCTTAGATTGATTTTTCCCTCCAGTATCCTATGGGGGTTGTCAGTTCAAGGGTGGTTTGTCATAGCTCAAGTGTCCTCAGGTTTTCTTCTAGGAGGGCAAGTTGCTTGCATTTGTTGCATTTGCATTGGTGTCAGTGAGAAGAACAAACATCTCACAGTCATTACAGCTCACCACTAGGATTAAATGGAGCCTGATACACCATATACTATTCATAGGGACAATACTCCTGCCCTCCATGATAAGAGCTGGTTGTCCAACCCACACAGAGGGAGATTGCTAGTCAGATCCAGCAGCCCAAAAAGAGACTGGAGACAGAAAAAGGCCACATTGATTAGTGTGGCTGACCAGTCTCGACTACCCTTGATAGTTTGATGGACACCTTTCCACCTATCTTCCCACTTGGGACCTGCTTGAAAGGTGGGTCTTTTCCGTAGTGGAGACAAGATAACTGAATAAAAACTGACACACAAACCTGCACTGCGGAGGTAACATAGCAAGGCAGGATACACAGCAAGGCAAGATACAGCAGGAACCAAATGTAGCAAGATTCAGGCAATGTGCAAGAGAACCACTCCAAAGCCAACCCATGTTGCTGAGGTGAGACAACAATGTAGGATACAAATAGCAAGGTAGGAAACAGGTCAGGCAAGATACAGGTATTGCAGCAAACAAGAAAACCTCTGTTGCTGATGCCTGTTCTGGAGGGAACAGCTTGTTCTTATATAGCCCTTCTTCCAGGGCTACCAGCTGGCCCTCATCATGAGGTTGAGAGCTCCAGCAGGGCCTGGGACCCATCTGTGAATACGAATATGGGCTTCTGCTTGTGATCATCAGGTGAAGCCCTAGCACAGACTAGATCCTGGTCAGTAGACACCACAGTACCACCAGTAGTGACATCATTCCTATGAATAATAAAGTTTGTCCTGTCATTGTTCATACCACAAACACAGCAGTTGTTATCTGTGGTATTGTTCATTTGCCCAGAGCATTGTGGGCGTTGTGCAACCTAACCCACATTTCTTCCCTAGTTGCCCAGTAGTCAGTGATACATGACTATCAATTGTACCTTGAGTGCCCATTTTTGGCTTTGGATTGGTCTGCTTGCAGTGCATGTTGCTAGGTTAACAATACCATAGCTGACTGGCTGAGCTGGAATTATTCTATTTCCTGTAAGTCAGAAGTGGACAGGCCATTCCTTGCAGAGGTACTTTACCTTTCAGTGTATGGTGGAGTTGGTCTTGATTACTCATGTAGGCAATGCGATTTGACTGAATTACTGCAGCAGATCAGGAGTAGATGAGATGCATGTTGCCTGTGTTTTTGGTGGTCAGGAACACTGTTTTTTCTTTTCCCACCCATCTCACTCATAACAAAAGTTCTTGCGAAGATAGTAATGGATGAGATGGATTTTAGACCTCTTTAGAAAATTGTTTTAACACTTAGCCCCTGAATGCTGTGGCCCTTTTCACACTGTTATCGTAGTTGTTTTAATGTATTAGTATGTTAATAAGTTTTAAATGTGTTTTATTATGTTTTAATATGTGTAATATATTGTAAGCCACCCAAGGCCTCAGCAGTTATAGGTAGCCTATAAATATGCATAAATAAATAGATTTCATCTTGTGGTGGTTGAGGCAGCATTGGTTTGCTCTCCTTTTTCAACTTTTTCATGGGAAATGCCATTGTTTTCCATTGATGACAAATCTCATAACACTGAGGCAAAATGTAGCATGCAGACTTAAACATGCTATGTCTGATAGTCTGGAGGTTAATGATTTCTGTCTCTTTGGTCCCTGACATAATTAAACACATTCTGGAGGCTGCTCAGAAACTTATACGTGAGACATTCTTATGCCTGTTAGTGGGCATCTCTTTGTTTTCACATGTCTCTGACCTTATTCAGTTCCAATTGTTTAATATGTTTTGCAGTTTATGTTGTCTGTTTATGGTAGACAACAGAAACATTATACTAATGGCTTAAAACTTTCTTCACTGAGCGTGTATGTGTTACCCTCTGCCTCTCATAATATAGTAATTTTTTGAAAAGTTATTTTTATTTTTTTCATGCCCACTAGTTCAGCAGTTTCTTTGGGGTGTACAAAATCCCACTCCTTCAAGTACAGTTCTCAGTACCTGCTTTGAGTTTGTCAGTTGTTCTGCAGATCTAGACTGTTACGTTATTAGAACCACTGGTGATGTCAAATCTATGTCTTGTGTCTTATAAAACTGTCTTTCTGGTGGCTATTACATCAGCCCACTGTTCCACAAAATTGTCTTTGGTGTGTACAGATCCACCTTATATGACATTCCATTGGGACAAGATGGTCCTCTGCCTTAACATTGCATTCCTACCTATAGATATGTTTGAATTTCATTTGGATCAAATCAACATACCTTCAGTTTTCTTCCTTATTATTATACTTTGCTTGAATCTATCCTTCATAACCTGGACATTTGAACGCTTTCTGTAAATTGAGGACTGAGCCCTTTCCTCAGTCCCATTACTTACTTGCCATAGTGGCAAGCTGCAAGGACTCCTGGTATTTTTTCAGAGATTATTTATCCAGGTGATCCACATTATTAAGTTGGCATATGAAGTGGTTTGCCTTGACATTTCTGGTCTAGTCTGAGCTCATTCAATTCATGCTGCTGCTAAATTGGTGGTGTTTGGGAAAGGAATATTAGTTCCTTCCTGATCTCATCCATTAGCCTTCTTCAGCTATTTCCAGCTTGATGTGGAAGCCAGAGCAGACCGCTCCTTCAGCTATCTAGTTCTGGCAACAGTCTTACAGTAGGACAAAACCACCATCAGTAATTTACTTTACTGTTCCCCCATATATGTGATACACATACACCATGGAGAAGAAAGATAGGATTGTTACCTATAACTGTAGTTCTTTGAATGGTGGTGGTCTGTGCAACTGACATTCATCCCCAGTTCAATATCAGTGTTAATACCAGTGCTGGTGTGGAGCCTTGGCTTGGTTCTGAGGATGTAACAGGAAGTATAAAGGAACTGAGAAATAGATGGGAGCTCAACTTGGGACATATACTCTGGAACTGTGTGGGAGGGTCTCAACCAAATTTCCTTAACTGTCAAGTTTCTCATGAGACTGGCTGTGCATCCCTAGGTGTGAATGCACAGATGATCACTGCAAGAACTACAGTTACAGATAAGCAATACAGGGTTTTTATATATGTCAACTCTAGTTTTTTCTCTTAGAATTTAAAAGTAGAGAAGCATGATAAAGTTATCAACTTTTTATTAATGCCTGTTCCTTAATTCACAGATAATAATAATAATGTTTATCTCTATTCCAGGAAAAGCTTTCTTCTATTGATTTCTGTAGATCAAGCATGTTAAACACAATGCAGACTATGTGTCTGATCAGTTGGCAACTTTACTTCAAGCAAATGTTGAGATACTTTTTATATTAATCATGTTTTCTTATATAGGGGAATATATAAAGAACTGGAGACCAAGATACTTCCTATTGAAGACAGATGGCTCATTTATAGGATATAAGGAGAAGCCTCAAGATGTGGATCTACCATATCCTCTTAACAACTTTTCAGTAGCAAGTAAGTACCTTCAGTAACCACTTGAAGTTGATTTTGATTACTCACCAGATTAATAGTAGACTGGACAATCTTTTGTAATACATATATTGTATATGTTGACTTCTTAAAATTTTACAAAATTCTTTTACAGCCAACTAGGCCTGGAAAAATTCATGCTGCCCCTAAAAGTTGTTGTAGGTTATGAACTGAAATACTATAAACACAGCTCCTATAATTTGAAGTTTTAACTTGGGGCAATAATGTTGCAGTATATCTCACTCTTCTTTAGGTGTATAACTTGTTGAATGCAGTTACATTTAAGTAACATGTGTTAAATTAGTTGTAAGACTGCAGTTCTGTTGCAAGTTCCATTGTTCCTTAATTCACAGACAATAATAATAATGTTTATCTCTATTCCAGGAAAAGCTTGCTTCTATTGATTTCTGTAGCTCAATCATGTTAAACACAATGCAGACTATGTGTCTGATCAGTTGGCAACTTTACTTCAAGCAACCGAATTTTGAATAATAATGGAAAAGATTAGGCTGCAATCCTAAAACACTTACTAATTCACTGTGTAGTTTTTGGATTTTCAGATGCCATTAAAAAAACTATGACATTAACCCTGTTTGGATGTAACAGTGACATTTGATGTGAATTCATGTATTAATTTATGCATTTCTTGTTGGGCTAACTTGGGGTTGTTTAACCCACAAATAACTCCAGGTACCTTTTTTTGGATTTCATGGAAACAGCCTAAAAATGCCACATTAGTACATTGTTTCAGGAACCAGAAGCAGCCCACTCACAGCATATATCCTTATAATTCATAAGTAAATTAACCCAAGAGTTGCTGCCAGGCTGTTATGTCCAAGCAGATCCAATGCTGTTAGTGATGAAGCTGTTAGTGCCTGGTCTCCATTCTTGTTCCATTTCTTTCACCAATAAAACTTCCTTTTTCTTGTTCCTGAACTCATGAAATATATGAAAGCAATTAAGACTTGGACCAGATGTATTACAGTGGAAAGAGGCATTCTAGTATGCCTTAGTACCCAGCTGTAAACCCAGTTCCACCATAATAGTGCAATAATGTTGAATGGAGTTTTGAAATATAGCAGTTTCATCAGGCTGAATGAAGTGGGATATTAGTAACTCATGCATTATCTAGCTTAGTGAACACTTGCTATTAGGGACATGCAAAAAATCTGTCAAAATCCCTGTGCTTGGCTCCTTGGACTCCAATCCTTTTTGCAGTGGCTCAGCATCCAAGTTCCTGGCTAATTCACCCAGCATTCACAGGGCGCTTGCCAGGAGTGAAGCTCCATGCACTGCACAAGTCAGACTTCTCAAACAGCATCTCTTTTCAACAGTAGCAAGCAGGGACAAAGGATGGTTTTCAGGAAGGATGCCTGGTGCACTCACTTGCAGCACCTCTTTTCCATATCCTGCAGCTGCTCCTGGGGGGGGGGGGGTTGCCAGTTGCACAACTGTATGTATTTGCTTAAAGCATTTGCTCTTCTTGGCTCAGGTTGCTTTGCAAAACTGGGCACACCTCTCCAGGGAGCACATTCCATAATCTGGGCGCCACTGCAGAGAAGGCCCTGCTCTGGGTAGATGTTCTTTTTATCTCCTTTAAAGAGTGCTCCCAGAGCAGAGCCTCTCCCGCAGATCTTAATGCTGCTTTCTACAGGCCGAGGCGAGGGATGGGGCTGTGGCCGGCCGTGTGGGGCGCCTTCCACCCTTCCCTGCCGTGGGGGGAAGAAGCATGGCGGCTGCTCAACGGTGGCAGTGGCTTGCCCTGAGAAGACTGCGGTGGAAGTGCTGTGGCTCCACTCCCACTCCACCTTGGCCCGTCTGCCCCGGGCTTGGCAAAGTGGCCTCAGCTTGGCCCGCAGCCCAGGGACATGGCTCATATTTTTGTGGTTAAAAAAAAAAAAAGAAAGTGGATTAACTTTATTACATTGAACGTTACGGGGAAATTTGATTATATTTTTCTTGATTTTTTTTGATATTTTTTTTTCTTGATATTTTTTGATTATATATTTTACCTTCTATCTTTTTTTAGTGTCTTCATCTCTCTTTTCCGTTTGTATTCCTGCTTGGTATTCCCACTCTGCATTCAGAGCCAATGCATGCGTGGAATAGGGGGAAGAACCAGTGCGTGCGCAGTTCACGCTGGCAAGACCAGCACAGCAGCAGGAGCTAGCCAGAGCTAGCAGAGAGAGCTGGCGCACGTGCAGTTGAAGGGAGCTGTTACAGTTTGGCGTGTTTGCCGGCTCTCTGCTAGTCTCTGAAACTGAAAGTGTTTCAGAGTACGCCTGTGCCAGCTTACAGCTTTCGGACTCGTTTGGAGATTGGTTTTCCCAAACAAGTCCGAAAGCTCTGAGATGGACTGGGTAAATGACCTTGGTGGGCTGTGTCTGGCTCATCTGCTGTAGTTTGAAGACCTCTGGTTTAGGGAGTATTTCAACTGTCCCAATCAATCTACCAGTGCAGCCCTCAGTGCCCATTGTGATGAGTTTGAGAGCCACTTTGAACAGAAAATCATGCTGATTCAAACTCTGCTATTGATTGCATTATCTTATATTGTTCTGTGGGATCAGTTTCATCCTTTGGAGTTTGAGGATGTGGCTCCACATGTTCTTGCATACAAGACTTTTGCATCTGTATAACCATCAAATGCCTTCTTGACCCCTGCCCTTCTTGGCTTCTTATGCTTAGCAATGGAGACTGACCAGATGAGTCAGGGAAGTAATCAGTGCATCATTATTATGTAATGCTACAGTCCCTATTGCTTTGAAGGAAGCATTGGTGTCTACTTGTCCAGTCACAAATGTTCCCTTCCTAGTTAAGTTGCTCAAGAGAGAGGTGGCATGTCAGCTGCAGGCTCTCTTGAATGCCTCATACAGCTTGGAACTTCAAACCCTACTGGAATGCTTCTCTGGAAGTCAATCCATCTGGCCACTACGATCAGCATCTGCTGTCTTTCTCTTACTGTCACCTTCCTCTGACTGTGCAATAATAAAAATGGATACAAAAATACAGATACAATAAAGCACAGTGAAAAATTCTAATATATAAAATTTAAGAACCTTGAAGTCTTTAAAACAATTTCAGTAAAAATTATAAGTGATTAAGACAACCGATATATCCCATCATGTGTCATTAGAAGCCAGAAAGCACCATCATGGTTATCTTTTTAATGTCAGGTTAAAACTGCCATGTGGTATAGAAATAAAATTAGTAATAATAATCTTTTAGGATGAATATATATTTCACCACTGTCATCTTTAATCATGAGCTCAAATCTTACTGGTGTGTTTAGCATTCTCCAAATATGTCTATTTAAGCAAGCTAAAACCAATATGCTGTGCAAGAATATTGATTAACTCATATTTAACATGTTAAATATGAGCTTAACATGATGTTTCCTGATAAGTGTATTTGAAGGAGTAGCACAATAAATTACAAGTTTTTTCAGCCTGTCACTTAAAGGTATTAGTTGTTCCTTTCTAAATTTATTTTTATTAGAAACATGAGTGATAATATGACCCCTATCAAGGTTTAGTACCCCCACTCAGTGGAGTATGAGTTAGCTGTACCCTCATTATTTCAAAATAATTTCATAACTCACTGATTTTTGAAAGGTTCATTTATTTGATAAAGAAATATGAAACCGCAAAAGACTGGTAGACCTTGGCCAGGTAATTTTAAATTGCAAATCCAAAGAAACTGGAGCATGATCTGATATTACCAATGCTTCATGCTTAATTTGGCATAGCAAGCATGTGGGAAACAAAAGTGATCACAGATTTTGTGGACAGGCAATTTTAATTGGATGATTTGATGATGTCTGATTTGGATGCATAATTCTTCAAGGGTAACCGAACTATAATTATAGTTAATTCAACTATAATAGGATTGAATTGTGAGTCTTAGCATTGCTGGCTTCTTAAGGGCTCTCCCCTCTTCCAGTCAAATGGGTAAATACTGTATCAAGTGGTTTGGTGAACTATTCATGAAACATAGTTGGAAAGTCATTGTTAAGCCCAGTGCAGGACAATTACTTTCTCATTGTGTTTTCTAACTACAATAAAAACTGACTGTAGTGGGCTGTTGAACTGAAAATGAAAGACATTTATGGATTCAAATGTCTACCCTTTTAAATCTAGTCAAAGTATCTCTCCCATCCAGGCTATTGTTAACTGTTGTGTCTCTGTTTCCATTAGGTGCATTTCTAGTAGAAAAGTCATATTGGTACCATATTCCGTTAATTTGGAAAGCACTTTCTTCTGTTTATTGGGGGTCTGCAGGACCTTGACATTTTAAGAAGTCATTTTAAAACATGAAATAATAGCAGATATATTGGTTGCCCAAATATGAGATGGATCGACTCCATAAAGGAAGCCACCACTTTGAATTTACAGGAGCTATACAGGGTTGTGAAGGACAGGACATTTGGAGTACATGCATTCATAGAGTTGCCATAAAGTGGGGATAATATATTAAAACATAACATAATTATAATAAAAATATCAGTTGTTTTCTGATACCTGCTTTACTCATACAAATCTTGCCCTTACTAAAGGATACCTGTTTCCAAATAACCAGAGAATAAGCCATAGCTACAATGCATTTCAAACCACCTCTATAGTGCCTTCCAGCTTTACATTGAAGAAAAACACTATGAATGGAAAAGAACCAATAAATGGAAACAGAGCTAAACAAACAAACAAACAAATATCTGACTCAATCACAAAATAAAACTGTTAATCTTGTAACGGGGTAATTGCACTGTCTGCCCAAACTAGGCCTTACTCTGTCAATTATTTCACTAGGTGTTAAGACCAGAAACTAGAAACTAATAAAGCAGAAGAAAAAAGCAAAGAGAAGTTAATACAAAACAAAGAAAAAGAATTTCAAGAAGCACAGAAGTTTCTCTAGATCAACTATGTATTCTGTGGTCAAATGCCCTTATTAGAGACTTCTTTTAAATAATCTGGATATACCATAATTTTATG